CAAGACCTACAGGAACAGGTAAGGCTGCATTACAACAAAACTTTATTTATGGGCCCTAAAATTTGAATTCCATAATTTTCACCCATCACAAAACATTTTTAAAAAAATATTTTTTTAAATGTAAAAACAATTCATAGCTCTTGGGCAGAAAAATAACAGGTAACAGCCGGTGGCAGGCCAGCTTTGGTCTTTGAGCCATAGTTTGCTGGTTCTAGACCTGAACTACCAAAATTGGGTTAGCAAACAACTCCGCATTCCCCACAAGGCCCCCAGCAGTAAACTATCTGTGGATTGATCCTGTTCATCTCTTTCCTTCTATTTTGGAAGACTACAGCCTAGATATATCTTTGAAATATCTAGGCACTTAATTAACACATCAAACAGGGTAGGTTTAACTAGTTGTTTCAAGGGCACATCAGAGCTTCAGCACAGATTAAAATTCTCCTTCTCAAAGAAGAGTAACAATCTGTTAATAAACGTGGGTGTGTAGTAGAGGAGGTCTCAGGTAGCAGAGGTCAGCCAATGGAACTTTCATAGTTTAAAGGAAATACTGGACAAAATCAGTCCATGAGCATCACCTTTTCCCTTAAAAACGGAGGAACTTCAGGCTTTACCTCTTTCAAAGTCCTTTCCTAGATGATGTCTCCTCACTGATACACCTCCCAGCAGAAAAAGTACAGTAACAGCAGCAGCTTAAACATCCTTTGTGGGGGAAAGCAGACAAAGAGCAAACACAGACCTGCCAGCGCAAACATTATATAGCCATCACTCAGGTATTTTCAAGAAACCTCTTTGGCTATAGTTTTATTTTGCCAGTTAATCTGAAACCAGCTTCTATTTGTGGCTAAAGCAACAACAAAACAGCCCTGGCTGGGTAGCTAAATTGGTTAGAGTGTCATCTCAATAGGCAAAGGTTGCATAAATTAAGAGCAAAATTGATGTCTCTCTCTCGTACTCTCAAGTCAATTTAAAAAAAACAAAAAACAACCCAACCCATAGCCTCATCCAATGTTAATTTCTAGAATGGCATACAACTCTGTCTTAAGAGTTACAATATGCCCTGACTAGTGTGACTCAGTAGATTGAGCCCCAGCCTGCAAACTGAAGGGTTGCCAGTTCAATTCCCAGTCAGGGCACATGCCTGGGTTGCAGGCCAGGCCCCGGGTTGAGGGCATACAAGAGACAGCCAGTCAATGTTCCTCTTACACATCAAAGTTTCTCTCCCTCATTTTCTCCCTCCCTTCTCTATAAAAATAAATAAATAAAATCTTTTTTTTTTTTTTTTAAGTTATTATAGCCCTGGCTGGTGTGGCTCAGTGGATTGAGTGCTGGCCTGCAGACCAAAAGGTTGCCAGTTTGATTCTCAATCAGGACACATGCCTGGGTGGCAGGCTGGATCCCCAGCTGGGGGCATGAGGGAGGCAGCGGACCGTTGTTTCACTCACACATCATGTTTTTCTCCCTCTCTTTCTCTCTCCTTTCCCTTCTCTCTAAAAACAAATAAATAAAATCTTTTAAAATAATTACAGAGTTCAGATACTGTAAATTCCTAAAAAACTTCCAGTAAAGATAAAATTAACTTCAAAATAGATGTAGATGTTTCCCTGAGTTCAAAGAATCAACTGGAGGTTGAAGTGGGGGCCACGGGTATGAAATATGGGATGTAGTCCACACACTGGAGGCCCATTATACACCAGGAAGCCAGGATCTTTTCCATGTTAGCACCAGCTCCTGACTAGGTAACTCACAAATCATCCTTCCAAAAGATACAGGCTTATACACTCTGCACCTGGCGTCCCATGTCCTAGGACCACAGAGATATGAAAGAGCAACTGGATCAGGAGCGGAATCATCAACAATTTGGGGAGAAAGAGAACTATTCGGGCCCATAAATTAGACTTCAATTTGAAATGACTCTCTGGGAATCCTTGCCCATTCATGTCTTCCCTGGTCAGACCTGTGCTTTGGTTGTATTTGTTCCTTTACTGTGTACGTGTGACAAACCCATCAAGAGGACTCTGGCATAGCTCTGGATGTTGGGTAGAAAGAGCCCCAGAAGGCAGGATACTACCAGGCCACAGAGCATGCTACACAAAGACCCTAAGTTGACAGATTTCATAATATGTAGAGCTTGTTTTCCAGACTCTCCACCCCACTGGACCCGCGCCACACACTTGCTCTGCCCTCAGGAACTACCACTTCACAGCGTCTTCCTAGTCCGTGAAGGAAAACTCTTAGTGAAAAAGAGAGTGTAAGTTACTGAAACTTATAAAAATGAGTCAGTGGCACCGGAAGGACCAAACAATTGGGTTTCTATGGCTCTGGGGGCTGGGCTTGGGCCATAGAGGCCACTATTCAATTAGCAAAGAATTTGTCGGGATGAATCAGACTACCAGCGGACAGAACGGTGAGGAAGGGGCTGCCTAAGCTGACGGCCATTCAAAGAGGCTTTCAAATGCGAACTTAACAAGTCTTGTGAGCTTTATTTAAATTTGATGGGAAAGCTACAAAAAAGTTCTTTTCAAGCTTTTAAACCTCCCTCTGACCTGCCAATCTTGAGAGAAGAAAAGGGAAGCTATGAAGAACAAGTGGCATCTTCAGGCACTGAGTGAGGCAAATAAAAAGCCAAGTGCACACAGAAGTTCTCCAACACACAAACTGGCCTGTTCCCATGCGGTCTCTGCCTAAAACAATGGTAAAAGGAGCTGGGACCCCGGGAGGGTATTCTCAATTCTCAGCAGGGGGGGCACAGCATGGAGCTCACAATTTAAAGCAAAACCAAATCACAAAAAGCTGGTATTTCACCAATAACCCAGCTCCACCCTCGGTGATGTCTACCACAGAGAACTTGACTTCCCCAGGCAACCTGTGAGGAAGTTACTAAACAGTAAAATACAATAACCATTTGGAGACATAAAAATCATAAACAGATAAAAAATTAGGTAACCAGCTAACTGAGAGCTGGCTCTGTCTGCCACTCCGGGGTGACAGTGGCAAACAATGGAATAGAGAAAGGTGGTAAAAAGGACATCCATCCTAGAGTCCCTTCTCCAGAGAGCAGTGAGCAAAACTTTTAAAAAGGAAGTCAAAGCACAATCCCTCTGTGCTCCAAGCCCTGGCTGTGAGTTGAACTGGGCTCCCTCAAAAGGATGTGCTGAAGCCCTAACTCCCAGTATTTGCTAATTGTATCTTTGCAGATGTAACCAACTTAGGAGGAGGTCATACTGGGTTAGTATGGTCCCTAAGCCCAGTGAGCGGTATCCTTGTAAGAATGCTGAGTGAAGGCACAGACAAGTATCGAGAAGATGGCCACGTAAGGAAGGAGGCAGAGACTGGAGTTGTGTTGTCACAAGTCAAGAGACACCAAGAATTGCCAGCAACACCAGGAACTGGAGGAGACAAGGAAGAATTTTTCCCTGGAAACTCCGGAGAGAGTGTGGCCCCACTGACTCCTCGATTTCAGACTTCTAGCCATCAGAACAGTAAAAGGATACATTTCTGTTGTTTTAAGGCACCCAGTTTGTGGCACTTCGTGAAGGCAGCCCTAGGAAGCTAACACCTCCTCCAATGGCTTCCTATCTCACGCAGAAAGCAAACCGCAGCACCATTACAATCTGACCCAGACTGCCCCTTACCTGGCTGACGTCAGCAACCACTGCTCCCTGCCCAGCCACTCCTCTCCGGCCATACGCGCCCCTTCCCAGGTCCTCCAGCCTGCGGCCACACTGCTACCCTCCTACCGCGGCGCTCGCTCTGTCACAGGCTGATCCTGTTTCAGACCTTTGCAGGTGCCATTCCCTCTGCTGGAGGGGTTCTGTCCCCAGGCACCTGCAAGGCTGTTCGCTCAATCTTTCTTCAGGGCTCTGCTCAAGTCTCCTTATCATTAAGCCTCTTCCTACATACCCTTCAGCATTTCCTACCCCTACCCCATACACCCTATTCCTCCTTCCCCTGCTTCATTTTTCTCCATAATACTTAAGACAATCTGACATGTATATTTTGCTTACCCTTTAAAAGGTCCATTACCACCCTGACTGGTATGGCTCAGTTTGGGGGCATGCCCCATAAACCGAAAAGTAACTGGTTCAATTCCCAGTCAGGGCACATCCCTGGGTTGCCGGTTCCATCCCTGGTTAGGGCACATAGGAGAAGCAACCGACTGATGTTTCTCTCTTACATTCAGGTTTCTCTCCCTCTTTTTCTCCCTCCCTTCTCGTCTCTCTAAAAATAAACAAACAGAATCTTAAAAAATAAAATAAAATAGGTAAATAAAAGGTCGATCGCCCCCTGTATGTTAAATGTGTTAGAGCAGGACTTTTTTCACTGCTGAATCACAGTGCACTCTATTGAGAAGATAAGCAAATTCTATCAGGACAGGTGAAATTTTACTCAAAACTGGCTGTGTGACAAAAAAGATTTCTACTAATTAAGTGGAACAGCAGAAGCTTCTATAGATGAAGAGCAGGCTCCAGGACGGGCTCTGAGGGGCCGGCAGAGAGCCTCTGCAGCGGGTTTGCTTGGGTGGGCTGCGGGGCTCACCACCATTCCTGTGTGGAAGAGCAATTCTGAAACAGCCTCTTAAGATTCCTCCTTATCTAAAGAACATCAACTCTTACCTATAATTTTTGTTTCCAGCCACACCCCTGCAGAATGCTACTTAGCCTGAGAAATTTGTGAAGCCAGACCTAACCATACCTCCACCACTGCATTCCTCCACACATTTTTGTTTTTCAGGGGCTGAAGGGAAGGGCCCAGCAGGAAGGTTTGATAAGGATAATCTCGTACTGTAAGTGTACAAACTACTTGAGGAGGAAAGCCCCTGATTACCACAATCCTAAAAAACAAACATTTCAAATAAACCATGAGCTTTAAAACAGCCTTTTCACAAGAAGGAGACAATCTAAACCTTTTTAAATGGCTCTAAGTTCGTACTTTTCCTCCCCTTGTTTACATTTTCAAAACTTTAAAACAGAAAAGGCAGAAAATGAAAGTTTCCTTACCTTGGGTTTTGGCCCCAGGTCCTGCTAATCCTAGTGATGAATCACAGGATTCCTTGAGAGGTGATCTGATGGGCGTTTCAACTTCAGGGGTCTCAAAATTACCTTCAGAATCCGAGCTGCCAAGGGGGAAAAATGAGGAATTACCACTTTCAACGGTATTTCCGACACCCTTTATAATCCGTATATCCAAAACGGCCAAAGTCCAGAATTCTTGCCTAACTTTACAACCCACTGGTGCTCAGCCTGCATTGGCCTGTGGGTGATGCTGCGGTTTTCTAGCAGGGCCCTCCTTGGGCTTCTGTCTGGCACCCTGTCTCCCTGAAATCACCGTCCTCCGGAGCTTTTCTCCAGCACCGTTTCTTTTGATGTCATCCTTCCCTCTGACACCCAGAAGAAAGCTCTTTGCAACAGACTCCTTTTTCTCACAAGAGCCCTCTCCCAGAGCCTTAAAAATTAAGACTGCCCTCTCCCCCTAAAAAATTAAGCCAATCCTCGCCATGATGCTTTTTCTCTGGCCGACCTCTCTACCTGTTATAACTCACTGGGCCCTCGGCTGAGAATGCTGTCACCTGCCTTCCGCAATCACATGGGTGACAGCTCAGCAGAGACCACCATTTCTCACCAGCTGCCAGGGGCCTGTCATCACGCGACCTTTTCTACCAAGACTGCATTTCTGGGACACAGTTGGAGCGACTTCTTCCCCACAGGGAAGGCCCCAAGTTCCACCGGGTGTGATCAATGACACGGGGGCGGGGGGAGGGAGCCAGAGGATCGAAGCTTAGGCCGACCGGGATGCAGGCAAACTGCGAATTCTCGTTAGGTTCAGAAAGCTCATACTGAAACAGGAGAAAGAAAATACACGGGAGGACAGAACATCTTGAACTTTCGAATGCACAGCGGGGACCTGGTTACAGGCACGGACGTAGCATTGCCATGAACATGGTTACGCGGTGGGCGACCACACACACGCACACAGAAAGAGCCGCGGATGGGTGGATGGGTGGATGGATGGCAGCACGTTCGCATCTCGGCGGGGATGCGTGTACTTGCCTGAAACTCAAGGATTTGGTCTCGGCTTGCGAGTCCTCCTCCTCGGGGTCGCCCTCGGGCCCTCCGGCCTCGTCCTCTCCGGCGCCCCCGCCGCGCACCGCGGACCACGTCCATTTCGCCCACTGCACGGGGGACAGGATCTGCCAAGGGCTGAACGCCATGAGCGCGGATCCTCCGGCTCCAGCTCCTAAGAGTAGGGGAAGGGGGAGAGCCTTTTTTCCCTTTCAAAATGGAGGGAACCGGTGACAGGCGCCTGTTAGCGTTTCCAGTGGAGGCGCGGATGTGGTTAAACGAGCGCCGTCGGGGGCCAGGGTGAAGGCGCTTCCTCTAGCCCGGCAGGCAGCGCCGCTTCCTCCTAGTCCTCTTTCCCAGATGGGGCGGCCGAGGCGCCCCTCCGCGCCCGGCGACTCGCGCCGGGAAGATGCCTCTCCTGGGGCCTCCTCAGGGCCCTGGCCCGCGGCGCTCGGCAGCTCAGGGTCTCGGAGGTTCGGGATCCCTGGTTCCCCTTCCCCGCCGGCGAGGCGCGCATCAGCTGCGGCGGGAGCCGCGCCCCTGGAGCCGCCCCCTCGGACCATACTACTCGCGCGCGGGGGTAGGGGGGGCCGCGACGGTGGGACTTTGATGTCTGCAGCGCGCCCGCCGGATCCCCCCGCCGCCGCGCCGCGCTGGTCGCGCCTGGACTGCGGAAAGGGGGCTTCCCGGCTGCGACTCTGGCTGCGCGCGGAGAACCGCAGCGCCTTTCCAACTCCTTGAACGTCAGGAGCAGGGAAGATCCATTTTTCTGCGTCCGTACATGCTGAACTTTCCCGCCTTCCCTTTGTATTTACTTGTTTATTTTATTACTTTTTTTTTTTTTTACTTTATTTCTGTACTCCTGAGGGTCCACTCCCATAACTTTACTGGAACTGCTGGCCTATTTATTTTTATATTTTCATTTTGCAACGGTGACTTAATGGCGTTGGTCATGTTGGATCGTGCAGAAGTTAAGCCCATATATGTATATATAAAAAAAACTTTGGTCTTTATCCCCGCTCTGTCGTTGACAGCGTGGAAGATTTCAGCCTGATCACCTTCAACCCTATTACCCCCAGGATTTGGATAATCCGTCAGCCACGCTACTGCTGGAGCCAAGGACTGGAAACTTAGATGCTTTGTCCCTCCCAAACCGCACTCGTGGATGCTTTGTGGCCAGGTCTTGGGCAAAGGGTGCTAAATTACCCTGTGAAATTATAGCCTGATCGGTTTCCCATCCTCCTTTTTGAGGCTTTCTTTTCATAACGTCCAAGTCTTTGATTTCTGACTTCGTTCGCTTCTTCTGAAGTATGCCAACAGGCCTGGTGAAGGCAGCCTTCAAAATAAAAACCCTCTTAATGCTTGAAAGCAGAGTTCTCCGAGGATTTCTTCATTTTCAACTCAGGGATTGATCCTCTTAGAATCACCAATGCTGCCTCAAACACCAGGCTTAATGATCTCCTTGCCTGGCTGGATAAGGCATTTCTTGCACTATTATAATTTCCCAGGGTTATGGTTGCAGGTTCCCACAGAGAGCAACTCCAGAATTTAGGAGCAAGTCACTGGCACATATGTTGCTGATGAATCATGACTGTTTTACACATGTGGTAACAAAAACAAAAGCAAAAATAATGCAGAATAAGAGGTGGCTAGTTGCTTTACCATAACAGAAGGGCAGGGTTTCCCCAAGACACTGATGAAAGGGTTGGGAGTGTTTGGATGGTTATAGAATTCGGCCACCTCCTTCCCAGTGATAAACACAACTGTTGTGCGTGCTCTGGAGACGACGAAGATGTGAAGTAAGCAGGGGTCATTTTTTTTTTTTTAGGTTCATATGAATATGCCACAACTCTATCCAACTGTATTTTTAGGTTTATGGTTCACCACATAAACCTCCAGATTATAAGGTCCCCCAGGTTCCTATATTTAACAAAAGTGTTTTGTTGCCTGGGAATAATATTACTCCAGTTACTGTAAATGAGTAACTGGCATGTACTAGGTCCTGTTTATTCTCCCACCTGAATAGGTCTCACATCTTTTCATTTCTCATCCCCCTTTTCACAGTTTGACCATAAATGTTTCCCAACTGGTTCAGTCTCAGGTTTTTCTCACCTGGGGTCATCCCGCCTGGTTTATCTGTGACATGTACTCTAGCCTTGCTGTTCCTGCCCCCGCAAATCCCCAGCCTTCTGTATTCCTAGCCATAATCAGTAGAGAATTGGTGCTGAACTTCTAACATGTCTGAGAATCATCTGGGGGCACGTCTTTAAAAACAATTTCAAACTGCCAGCAGGATCTGAAATCTGTATTTTTACCAAGTGTCTGAGGGAATTTTTTTCCCCTGGAAAAAAAATTTTTCCAGGATAAGTTTGGGAAACAATGACTAGCTTGAAACAATTAATTGCTTCCTGCCGAACAATCTTCCTTCTGCCTTCAGTTTTGCACAGTCTCCCCCGCTGCCCCACCTTAAGCTCTCCGACCTTAACAGTCTTGACTTCCTTCATCCCCCAGCTCAGGGAAAGCAGGCTAATTTTTCCTTCCTTTCTACCATCCCTATATACCAAATATCCAGAAAAGACTTCCTGTGGCCCTTGGTTTTGAAAGGGGGCATTATTAACTGTTACATCAGGACAACAGGAATAAACCAGGACATCCCAGGATGTAAGGTCACCTTGCACTTGGCAGACTATATATAATGTATTTGTTTACTTCTCTGTCCCACTCTTGGACCATAAGCTTGAAATGGCAGGGGCCACATCATATTTGTGACTCATTTTTGTTTCCCCAGAGATTAGGACAGGACCACACATTCAGTAGATGTTTAATAAGTATGCAGAGAAGGAATATTCCGGTTTACAAATAGACCCTATAAGTTTGGCTAGGGTGACATAAATTCCTAAAGCCTGACTCCTTCTGAAGAAGTCAAGTTTTTGAACCAGGACAGACCGGAACTTGGGATGAGTAAGATAAAGTCCAACCTACACAGTAATTTCTTGAAGCTGGAGGAGCAAATGCTCAGTGTCTGAAAAATCACTCTTTTAAGCTCCTGGACTTAATGAGAACAGCAATAAAGTAAGTGACTACTCAATAGCTTGAATTGATTTTATTGTCTAGAAGTACAAGTAATGAGGCTAACTGATATATGAATTTTCCTGTAATTCTGGGAAAGAATGGGCAATGTTTAACAACAAATATCCTAACCAAGATAAGTAGTCATTTTGCTGCTATGTCCTCAACTTCATGGAGCAAAATGTCTGCAAATACATGACCAAATAACCAAATGAAATGCATTTGCTTTGGAAATGAGCATAAACACAGAAAGGGCCCCATCCATTCTCTTCCTTCCTCTGCTTCTCGCCCTTCACAGAAGCTCTGAATCAATACACCATGAAAATCTCAAACTGTAACTCCCTTGAAACACGCCACCATGGTCACCAGACCAGGCACACACCTTGCTGCTAAATGGATGCAGCAAGGGATCTGAGAAATGAGTCTTTTTAGTAAAAAAAATGAAATGTATGAATAAGCCGACTCAAACAGGCAACGACTACCCACATAGTGGCATCGCTACTGAGAGGATTCCTGGGGAAGTGTGGCAGGAGGTGAGGGGCAGAAGCAGAGTGGGGCCGAACTGCAAAGGACCCTGTGCACCTGGTAAGGAGTTTGAACTTGATCCTGTAGCGGGGGGGGGGCAAACACAGGTACCCCCCTTTATAACGGAAGGGAGTGGCAGGCCCGGGGGTGGCTGTGCTACCTGGAAAACACCGCCCTGGCTAAGGGGCAGCCCTACCCCGTTCCTGGTGCCAGCTTTGCCATCTAACAATTTTCCAAGAGCAACCAAAATCCTGGGTTTCATAAAAATCTTCCAGTCTTTAACATTCTAATTTAAATTGTTTTAAACCTTGTGGCCACCAACACGGTGCAGGACATATAAAATCCATTTACCTGCACGCTGGAGTGGCCCGTGGAGCCTGGACAGACAGAGTGAAGTCATCAGGCTGTGAGAAAGTAAATAACATGTCCACTTAGCAATATCGTTCTGCCCTGGCCAGGTAGCTCTGTTGGTTGGAGCATCATTCGGAGACCAGGGTTGTGAGTTTGATTCCTGGTCAGGGTACATACGAGAATCACCCAAAGAATGCATCCATGAGTGGAACAACAGATCGATGTTTACTCTCTCTCCCTCTCTATCTCAAATCAATGAATAAAAATTTTAGGAAAAAAATAAAATAGAAAGTTCCTTCCGGCAGCAACCTGAGGGCTGTAAAACTGCTATTTTTCCTGCTCCAAACAGGCAGAGAGAAGGGGACAGCTTCTTCCCAGAGGGTGAAAGGAGCAGAACTGGAACGAGGGTCCTTATCTTTCACTCTACTTGTTCACTGAGTATCGGTGCTGTAAGCAAGCCAAGCGCAGTGGGAACACTTGCAAACAGAAGGAAAAGAAAACCTACTGCGAGGAAAATGGAGCCCCGGCCAGCTGGTGAAATGAGACGGCCTCTGTGAGAGGGTGTGGAGGGAGTGCAGGAGGCAGGGTGCGAGGACAGGGTCAGCGCGGCAGCAGGGAGTCACGGAGATAAGATAACCGGTGAGAAACCAGAAAGGTCAGGCAGATGGGCAAACCAGTCAACGCATCCGTGCTTTCTAACGACTTAAGAATTTGACGAGCAAAAGATACATCTACTTCAACTAAGACAAAATGCCAGATTGATGATGTAACCGAAGGGGCTGGGCAGCCTTGAAGGGTTTAGGAAAAGCACTGGCCCACATGACACTGAAAATGCCAACAGCAACCAGAGTGAGGTGCCTCAGTGGGACCTCAGCAAACCATCCCCCACTTCCCCACCCTGCTTGGTGAGAGCCATCTGTTCCCTGGGTGAAGTTTCCAAAACGTGGTCAGGCACTCCCTGGCTGTGGTTACTCCATCAGCCCGATCACTGAATGTCTTCTCCCGACGCAGCTAGCTAGGCAGTCTCAACTCTAAGCTTTTTTATCCTTGAATATTTAAATGAAGGTCTCTAAGATGTCATGATAACAGCACTGTACCTTATATCAATAGAGTTTCATCTGATCCTTATAATCTTTCTCACAAGCAGCAAGGCAGGCTTTCTCATTCTCAATTTGCTGATAAAGTAACTGAACCAGAAAGGGCAACCACCTGCCAGGAGTCACACAGCTAACGAACGCCACACTGCTAACGAACGCCACACTGCTAACGAACGCCACACTAAATCCAGAACCCTCGTCTCCTGTCAGCACTCCCTGCGCTGATTCAGACCGCAAGAAAGCAGAACGCCCTTGCAGCTCCGCCGCCGGAGCTAGGGATTCCATCAGTTAGACATTCCTCACAGACTGTTGCTGCTGCTACAGTCCTGGCTTCCAGCTTATCTGGCACCAGCTGCAAAATCGCAACTAGGAATACCTCCCTCTCTCAGTAAAAAACAGCCATTGTCAATAGGAGGTGTGCTGTTCTGACCTACCTCAGTCTAACCAGGCAAGAACATGCTGATGTCTGTACAA